TATATTTTTCGATATATTTATTTTGTTTGTACAAAATAAAAAAATAATTTTTAACGATACAATAGTCTTCGTTAGGCTTAACATCGACGAAAATTCAACGCGAAGCAACACGCAACGGATAAAAATTTTAACACGTGATATATTAATATATTTTNAAAACAGATAAACGTGTTTTATTTTTGAAACATTTAATAAAAACAAACGTTTATATGTGGATAGAAAGGCTCTGATTTAAGAATAATAAAATACAAGATATAGGATCGAATGTATTGTAGTTAGTTAAAGCAACGACATTGCTGTGATTCAATTTTACCTGGTTTAGCAATAAGCTCAGAGGAGCTTACAGAATAGAAATTTCGATGAAAGCCAAAAACAGCGTTTAAAAAACATCGAAAACTATGTTTCTTCTTATTGAAGCGATTACCGGCCAATCTTGAATAATTTAGCACGATAAAGTTACACTATATATATATAAAATTAATTTTTAATTTTAATTGCATATTTTTTGTAAGATAGTTCAAGATTAAATCACACTTAACGTATTATAACCTTGTTTTACGTATCATCAAATTAAATTTCATATTCTAAAATCGCCAATTGGTTTATGAATTACTTTTTGTATTTTTATTGTCTATCTATTACCTTCTATACATATTTATTATTCTTTTAGCTACATTAATAGTGTTAGATCTGGATGTAAATACAGTAGAGCGTCGTTTATCCGAAAGTCTGTTATCCGAAACGTCGGTTATCCGAAGGAATTTCAGTCGAAAAATTTAAATTTTCGCCAGTGCTGTGGCGCTGTAATCTTTGGCTACGTCTTCAGCTACTAAATATTTTACGTTTTTTATTCCAAAATTAACATCTGAAATATAATTTTTTATTGTTTTTATATTTTTCGATATATTTATTTTGTTTGTACAAAATAAAAAAATAATTTTTAACGATACAATAGTCTTCGTTAGGCTTAACATCGACGAAAATTCAACGCGAAGCAACACGCAACGGATAAAAATTTTAACACGTGATATATTAATATATTTTTTCGTACATAATTAGTTATCCGAAAAATAAGTTATTCGAACTACCCCAGTTTCAATTGATTCGGATAAACGACGCTCTACTGTAGAAAAGAATTCTGTCATAAATATTGTTAATATAAATTCTGTATTAAATAGATATAGGGAAATTCGTTTCTGATATTTATGCACGTAAGTCTTCTATATTCTATGAAAGATTTTAACATTTTTGTTGCTGTGAAATGATCTAAATTCATCTGATTTAATAAAATTGGAAATATCTCGCTTTGTACTGTACGTGCTTTCGAAAATGTAATACATTCGTCGATTTTTGCATCTCAGAATGAATGTATTTCTACCGAACCGACAGACCAATTTCGTTTTAGTAATTTCAGAAATTGCATCGTCGTTTGATATGAAATATTTTGTTCCAAGTATTATTAATCGAAGACTGATTTATATTACAGTATAATAATATAGGCTAAACGTTTTCGAAAAGATTGGAATGCGTAATCGAAGTAGGTGTGACCACGACGATTATAACAAAAATCATTTCCGACTGTTTTTCGTATGACACACATGAAAATGATGCACACACTCATACAGTAATATCCTTGTAGTCTTTCTCAATTCTTAAAATAATTTTTTTTTCTGATTGAAGAAATAAATTGAAGAGATTTTCTAATTTTCTCTTCTTCTTTCTTAAATTTTCTGAATTTTAATTAATCTTCCACGCGTTATGACTTTGATAACTCTTTGCTCAATCGATGTCGCCTGCGTTTGTCAATATCCTTTTATATCCTTTTATGATATTCTGTTATTCTGTCAAAATCTGTGAAATTATAAACAAATGGATGTACCCAAACATGAGTAATGTTCAGTCGTTACTTATTTTCGTTACTGATTCTCGTGAAATAGGTAATTATTAATAAACAATACTATTAATTGTCGAGTATATTATTGTGACAATACTTTTTCAGGCATTACTAATTGTAAATTAACCACTTGTTCCTGAATTTTCGTTTAAAATTTTTAATTAAACATAAAAAATGCTTATACTGAAAAAAAAAAGAAATGGGTTAATTTTGAAGAAAAAGCTTCAAATTTTATTTTCCATTGTCTGGCCTTTCTGCGAAATTTGACACCAATGAGTCATTGTGTTTACAGCTGGATGACGTTGAGAACAGTTGGTGTTGGATTTCGCAAAACATTTTCATAAAAGCTACAAAAGGCAAAAGGTTTATAGTAGGGTCAATACTAGCAGATTGTATATTTTTAAATAATAAAAGTAAATTAAATTTTTATTGCGATTTCCGACCCCCCGATTTAATTAAACACACACACACACACATATATATATATATATATATGTGTGTGTGTGTGTGAACTGTAGTAATTAAAATAGTTATTCCTACCTAAAAATTACTAAATCAACCTCACATTCTTTTACCAACAAAAACATTGCTCTTTTTATCTATTTAATTTAAAAATAANTAAATATTTAAAAATATACAACCAGCTAGTATTGACCCTAATATAAACCTACTATAAACCATTTGCGTCCTGTAGCTTTTATGAGAATGTTTTGCGAAATTTAACACCAGCTGTTATATATATATATATATATAATAAAGTCTATTAACTATAAAGTTTTAAAACTATTAGAGGTCGTTTTTGATATCAGAAAGTAGCTTTAACTTTACTGAAGTAAAATCCGTGCACTATAACTATAGAACAATGAATGAAATTTCATTAAAAAATCGCATTAAAAAATTAAGCGTTAATCCTGCGTCATTAAAGGTAAATTAAAATCAAAATAAAATTTTTTCACGCGGGTAAAAATTTTTGAAAAAATTTAGAGACTTGAAAAACATCAGTAAACTCAAGAAAAAATTTTCGGGGGTCGAAAAGACCGAGTTTTCTGTAACGCTAGGCAACCTGCCCGAGTTTTCTCAGGTCCGGACGGCAAGTCGATAAACATAAATAAATCATAAAATTTAACATATAAATAGTTTATAATACAAAGAAGTTTTTTTTTCTACTTATATATGTGTTTTCTATTCTAATTACTTTAATATGAGTGTATATCATATTACATTAAAATTCTAAACGATTCCTGAAAAACTGCTGATTACTATACATTTTTAATCACAAACAGCAACAGTGAAACCATAAATATAGTAACCTTCTAAAATTATTTACAAAATGTTTTTTGTGTAAGAAATTACAAAGAATATATAGTGACTTTAAGATTTTTTACAACTCACAATACACCGTACTTTACGTTATGGTGTATAACCCTTTTTTTATAGGGAAATTTTTGTCGTAACACCCTCTATCAGACTGTACCATAGCTAATCTATTTGCATAGCGTTAGAGATATTGATTAAATGTTTACTAGTAGATATTATAATTTCGAAGTGTTTTACAAATTTACGTTTATAAATGTTCTTTTCGGAATGAAGGAGTTTAATGTTATTTCTATCAATTTCACAATAACTATTTTTATATGGTCAAACCTTTTTAACTGTCAGATAACAACGTACGGTGTATTGTGAGTTGTGAAAAATCTTAATGTTGCTATTACCTTGTACGTTACTTCTGTTATATATAAAAGCAGAAAAAAAAAGTTTTTGCTTATAACAGCATCCTCTTGGTTCGTTTCGTTTATTCGTTTAGGGCAATGTAACAAGTGGGCATTCAGCGTAGAGGGATCGCTTCGAAAAAGACTGTTGTAAATTGGTATCTATTCAGGTGTTATTAACATGAAGATAACTCAACGTGATTGGTTGGTTGGCGTGGCGCGAACCCACGACTTGTGTTCAATTGTTTTACGTACTTGCCACTGGTAGGAAAGCGCTTACTTTGCTGGAAGTACCAATAGTATTTTAGAAAAATGCTTCTGTTTGGTACGGACTTGTTAACAATTAACTATGAAGTCTTAGTAAAGGCATGCTTTCAATTTTAAATTGCCTGCCATTACGCGATAAATAATTTGCCTGCTTTCACACTTGGCAAAGTGGCCATGTGCACACTTTCGAGTAAATTGAGGTGTCTGGCACCTAAATATAGTCTTATCAACGTGCATCCTTGTCTGCACATAGCGCGTGTGATTTTCTAGTATTATTTGATGAATTTAATCCAATCTCTTACTAAGAAATTCTCAGTTAAATTTACATAATTAATTCAAACTGAAACTAACATAAAATTTGTTTGATATTGTAATTGTCAGCTTATAATTAAAATAATTTATATTTAACACAGAGTGAATTAGCAAATGTTTCACACCTATATTATCGGTACAAAGTGATTAAATGATATCATGAGATAACAAATAAATTTACAAGTGAGCTGTAAAATTAACTTTTGTTTATTTCATACTCTTATAAAGTGTACATAATTAAAAAATTGCATTTTACAATAGACGATAGTATGTTAAAGTTTAACGAACATTATATACGTTCATTTATGATATACGTAATTAACGAATTATTAATTTTATATGAGAAAATTAGTTGTTATTTACGGTAAGTAAAGTTTATAAATATTTCGAATAAAGTGATTTAACTAACAGGAAATATTTCAAATCCATATTATTATTAATGGAAGTGCTTCTATGAAATTTTCGCGATATTTTTTACATATATCAAATTTCTACAATAAGATACATTATAAATTTGAAAGTTGTAAAGTTGATTGTTGTATATATTTATTGTTGTAATAAATTACAATGTTCACAATCAGTTAGTATAAATATCGTAATATATTTGAATTTTTCGTGAATTTTTCGTGCGTAATGCGAAATACAATTTTGCATTTTCTAAAATAAAATTAGGAACATTCAATTCCTTAATTAATTAACAATGCTTTGTTTTATTAAGTATAATTAAAAGACAGAATAAAGAAAGTATAAAATTCTATCTTCCTTGTGTTAAAATGATTAGCAATATTATTATAATAATTCTATTCTATAATTTCAATTTAATAAAGTCGATTACGGGTAACAATTTTAACCACTTTAGTTAATATTATTTCAATGATTAAGCAGATTAAAGACACAAAATATCCAATGCCCATAACTAACAAAGGACTTTTAATATCTTCGATTGACAACGGTTGGAATTCTGATGCTTCTTGGAATTCTTCAACTTCTTGAGGATATAATTTCTCAGTAATTCCAGCTTCGAACATGCGAGTTATTCTAGAATTAGATTATTTTAATTATTTAGAAATTAATGTTTACTGTTGTATGCAGTATATATAAATTTATATATTATTTACGTGTTAGATAAGTCCTTCTTAAATGAAAAATTCTTTCTGGTTGAATAAGCGCTCATATATGTACGAAAAGAATCTTTGGACATCACGTATTTATGCCTATCTTCTGTACTGATATACGTATTTAGCCCATGTTTCGTCATTATGTATGCAAATCGTTCATTCCGCGCTTTTTTAATGCCATCTGCCGTAACCATAAAGTTATTATTTGACAAAATGTTTTCTCTTAAAACTTTAGTATTTTCTGATTTCGATTCCTACAATTAATTAATAATTATAGTAATATAAAACACAATTATTTTGAATAAAACTTGAAATTAAAAGTACTGAATAGAACATATTTCCATATAGTAAATACAAATATTTAAATTCATAAAACTTACCATTATGTCTTGCCAAGTAATAAATCCATTGTATGTTCCGCACGAGTACACACCGTTGCGGACAAATACAGCAAGTTCCTGAAAATCTCTTGGAACAGTCTCAGTTAAAGGACACGTCATAAAAGACATTAACGCCCCGCTGTAACCGGATACCAAAACAAGAATCGATAACCACCAAATTTCTATCATTAATCTGGACGCAAATCTTTTTACTTTATTTAGATTTAATTCTAAATTAAAATTAAAAAATTTTTTTTATTATAAAATTCAGAGTTTGAGTTATGTCATAATTAAAAAAATTAACCTTGACTCAAAAATGTACAAAGTAAATTCCAAAAAACTGTACATAAAGTCCATCGTTTTCCTGCTTTTGCAGCGATAAAGTCCTTTTCAAGCACTTTATATAGCGTTATTCCAAATATGAATACAATAGAAAATATAGCGATCCATACCTGAGTACATAAAATATAACTTAATGTTTAAGTTTTAATTATAGTTTAAGATTTCTTTTTTTACTTACATTTAAGGTAAAAGGCTTTGTAACAGAATTCCAGTCAAAATTTTTATTCGGTGCTTTAATAAGGAAACCTACAGGATAAAAACCGAAAACTGGCGTAAACTCCATTGCAGAGAAGCGTTCGAGGTTGACAGCTGCAGGTACAAAGGATACATCTGCTACCTAAGTTAGAAAATTAATTATAAAAGCTAAAGTCATAAAAGAGTATATTAAAGTGTTGACTGATATATATAAATTAAGTTGTTGTGCTATTCAAACTGTTATACATTTTTTATTGACTTTTAAGGATATTTTAGGATTAACTTCTTTGAACAGTGAAACTAATTAATTTTCTATTTAATCAATCTGAACCCCATAAATTCAATTTTGTGAATATTTTATATTAAATATATTTAATTTCTATTTAGGTTTTGTAGGAAAATTGTCTAATTTACTAGGTTTTAATAATTACCTTTTCATATTATTTTGTGAAAATATTAAATACAGAATATATAGAATGTTCTATTATGTCTCTTAAGACCCTGTACCAGATTCTTTAGATAACAAGCAGTGGAAAGATTAAGTAAAATATAAACGAGAATTATGTATAAATTTACTAGAGATGCAGCAGGAAAAAAGTGTACTTAGCCGTTTTGCCATATTTAAGGTGGCTGAAAATTGTGTATAAACATTACTATAAACGAAATAATTAAATGAGTCAGAGCCAAAGCCGTGGTCACACCATGTGATTCACAGCCATGATGACGTTCATAACTGCAACAAGCGCGAGTCGCGACGTGTTTTTGTGATCACACATTAAACGCTGACGTTGCAACACAAGAAAAAGTGACACTATAATCCAATAATATTACAGCAGTTTGTGTTTGACTAGTTTCCTGATTATACCGATAGTCTACGTTCTACTTTAGAGTACAGTATTTACGAAATTTTAGCCAGTTATCTTATTAATTGCTGTTGCAGTCGCGCCGGTCCTCAAAAAAAAGTGTACTAGTTAACGGGAACAGCCCTCGCGGTTGCCATAGCCTGCGCAGCTAGAATTCTCATGGTGGGACCACTGCTTCGGAATAAGCAACGAAAAAGTTTATAATAAAGGAACACCTTACGTAATTTTGAAGTTTATGAGGAAACACTATGTATATATACTTTTATAAAAAGTGCGTGACACGATTTACTTTTTACTTATTATGTAAACTATTATGCTTTTTGAAACTAATAATGTACAGTACATAATTCTACTATTTGTTACTAGCGATTTCACTCGCGGTAGTTTTGCTAGTAAACCCAATATGTATTCAGTATTTCAACACCATAGTAATTGTTATATAGCACATACCGCCAAAATAATGAGTATTGCCGAGAATCAAAGAAACTGTTTTCAATTTGATCAATTTTATGAGACGTTTACAGTCGTTCTATAATAGAATCAATATGCAATTACAACTTCGAATTTAAAACGGATCGAACATTTTGTTAACAAATTAAAATATATGAAAATGTTTATAACAACGTCTGAAATTATCAATTTAATACACCTGAATACCCAATAAATAGTAAACATAGCTGAAAACTAAAATTCGCATTTAAAATACTACATTAATATCCGTTTATTCGGTTAACCCTTAAATGCACTTTTTCCCCGCAGGAAAATTACGGAAAATTCCTTCGTAGTGTGTGTTCTCATGACATAGCGTAAATGTGTACCAAATTTCTTATCTTCAGGTTCTGGGCTATGATGAATTAATGAGTCAGTCAATCAGGACAAGTAATTTTATATACAGTCGACCCCCCTATAAGATAGAGATACGTTTCATTCTCTAGGAATCCGATTTCTTACGAATCCTTCCAATCACAACCCGACACGTGTCAAGTTTACGGACTACGGCTGTTTGAAAGATTTTCTTCCATAAAATTATTCCATTCTAGACTAATCCGACT